ATGCGGTATGAAAGCGAAATGTAACCTATTTTCCTCCAGAGAAAATAAAACGAGTTGTAGAAAGGGAAAACTGTATGGAAGTGAATGAGAAAGAGGGTATCCATGGCAGCGAGCAGCTGGAGCAGGATTCCATTAGCTGGAGCCTCCAGGTGATCCACTTAATGCCGTCATCGGTCAACGGGATGGCCCTCCACGTCAGGGTCAGGCAACCCCCAACTGGGTCTAGGGGATTTGAATATTGTTATCAACCCCCTTAGTTATCAAACCAGGGTATGGAAAAATATGTAACAAAAAATAACTTTTTTTTTCTACATATAATATTCTGTCTCGAGAACAATAATTATAGTGCTAAAACATAAAATATTAAAATATTTATTTAAACCAGAATCGATAAACACGGTTACCATGATTGAAGTTTTATTTAACACTGGTAGTTTATACTATAGAATGTACTGGGTCATTTAATTCCTTATCAGCAAAAAAAAAAGAATATATTTTTAAAAATAATTTAGCCCGAAATGTTATATGATATAACTACAACAAAAATTTAAAAGGGTAAAAAATTAAAATAAATCCCAACAAATTACCTTTACCCTTCGCCGTAAACCTACAACATCCCTGTCGAACAGATCCGTTATCTAGGACTTCTTGCCTGACAAACGCCTTACCTGGAATCCTCATACTAGACTTAAAAGACAAGAAACTGCCAACAGATTCCGACTACATCACTTATTTTGCAAACGCTCTAAGCTTCCAATATTCTACAAAAAAACTCATTTACACTACCATCATCAGTCCCATTTGGACATGAGGTATTGAGCTTTGGCTCTACAAAAACATCAAATTCTTCCCGTATCCAATCCTTACAACCCGAAATCCTCCGTAAAATCCTAAATGCTCCTTCTTATGTAACAAATAAAATTATCCATAAAGACCTCAACATTACTCTTGTGGAAAACTTGGCCCAAACTAGATATACCTCTTTATTATTTATTTATTCCAAACTCTTTGGTCACCCCAATCCTCTAGTTTGTAACCTTTCACCCAACACAATTCCTGACAACACTCCGAGGCGTCTGAAAAGAAGATGGCCAAGAGACATACTAAATTAATTTATCTTTGAAGTGTTACTAATGGGTCGCTTCTTCACAAGTACCTTCATGTAATATATTCCTGTAGCAAATTTACTGGTTGTGTATATGTTTACAGTTGTAAATTTCAATAAAATAATTTTAAAAAGGGGGGAGGCTAAATGATTTTCCTTAAATTCAATTATAACAATAAATAAATAAAATTAATCCTTTCCTTATAGAAAAAGATTTCAGTGATGATTGTAAAATATTTTATTTTAAATATAAAAAAAAAAAAAAACGGGACCACACTTTTTATTCCCAGAATTATTTCTCCCTTATTATGGTTACAAATTGGCGATAAAAATAATGATATAATTAGTAGATTAAGGTATGTATACAAATAATAATTTTTATATCGCTGAAATATATACAATTAATTTTTATTAAATTTCAATGTTAAATGGTTAATTATTTCAAATAAAAGAATATTGAAGGCACTTTAGAACTAATATTGAAAATTAGCCGTTTAAGCCCTGTTGGAGAAAATCGATGAGAATAAAACTTACATTATATTTAAAACTGCTTAAATTTACACCGATACAATGAATTTAATCAAAATCGTTAGATCTGGTTTTGAGAAAATCGTAGCCGATTATGACGAAAAAGATTCTGTAACATCACAGAAAAATACAAACATTAAATACCCAATGTCACTTAAGTATGATTTATTATTTTTGAGCTATACTTAACACACACACAGACCATTTTTTGTGCCTTATTTATTTGAACTTAGGAAATCTCAAAAGGTATATTTCTCTTGGAAAATCGGATTAAAAAATTTTCATGATCGCAATAATTTCCCTAATCATATATTTTATATATATATATATATATATATATATATATATATATATATATATATATATGTATGTATGTAGTTAAGTGAAAGTAGGAAAGACAAGAAATCAGGAAAAAAAGTTTTAACATTACAATCTATTCTGTTACCTTTAAAAGTTCTGAAAGTAAAATAAAGGATACTTCCTAAGGAGATAACAATAGTCTTGAGTCGAAGCTCGCGCTCGAGTATTGTTTTAAGTTTTATTTACACGTCCTAACAGTTAATTTATTCGACAACTTTCTCTGATAGTTCATAACGCCTTTTCCTTAATTCAAGTCTCAGAGTAATTTTCTATTCAAAGTCCAATGCAAAACCATTCGTATAAATCTTTAACTTGCCAACAAAAATAAATATATATGGTGTTATATTTAATGAAGAAAGTTTCCAACATTTCTAAAAAAGTTTCGAAGGATTATTTATTAGATTATTTAAAAATCGCTCATTAATCTTCAGATTATAAGTTTTTTTTTTGGACTTGTCGATACTTGTTGATTTATTACTAGAATATTATTGTGTGGGAGTTTTTTAATATTAAAAAATAAGAAAAATTAAATTTTGCTTTAATGCTAAAAGTTCATTTCAAAAATTGACTCCTGGTTAATGGAAAATAGGTTAGTGAAAAAGTGGACATTTATCAAACCGGTGGGATAGACAAATTGTGATCAAGTAACTCAATCTTTATGAATGTCTGTCTGTTTTTCCTAAAAGGGAGGCGACAAATGTCGTCTTAATCAGATTGAAAGTGAAGTGGACAAGGAATAATTTATTTATTTTTGTAATCCAAAATCCTATCTAATACTCAACGCTCCTTGGTTTTTTTCAAATAATCTATTATGACCTCAATGTTCAATACATTGCTGATTTGGTCCGAACCATATAACCAGATACACAATTTTCCATAATCTCTAAAAACTCTGGAGTTTTACCACCTCTGGAGGTGGTATGCATTACCGTATCTTTAAATCAGCTTGAACGTTAAAAAGGAATACTTTCATTAAACTTGATAAAGGATAAAGGACCCCTTCAAGCCAATTCGATTACGAAAATGCTTCTATAGAACATTAACGTTATCGCGAATTAAAATAGCCCCATAACTTCTTTACTTACTCAATGCTTAATAGATCCTCTTTGAAGCCTTTTAAGAGAAGCATAAATGGGCGTTTATGCAATCAAATTCGCTGAAGTTGATGCTTTTTTTTTTATTAAAGTATTCCTCTTTTATGGATTCTTCAAGTGGAATTAAAGCAACGACTACTCCAAGTACCTCCAAATCCACTCGTTATTAACCTTACACGTGTACCTTAAAGATGCATTTTGAGCTTATATTGACATACTAGCTGATGTACCCATCGTTGATGGGTGTATAGTTAAAATTTGAGAAACATTTTTGAGATGGATTTTGTATTATGGGAGGAGGAGGGTCCAAACTCAATTTCATAAAATTGAGTCAAGAGAGGGGAGGGAGGTTGTTTTGAATTTTTTTATGGTGGGACATATGGAAGTCAAGGTTTCGCAATAGTCATAACAAAAATATTGTTATATCGGCTATTTGTTTAGGTACCACACAACTAAACCGAGCACCACCGATCCATTAAAACTGTTTAATTTTCATTTATGATGAAGCGAGAAGATTTGCAGAATCGATTAATTAATCAAAAGTAGTTGTAGTCTCTCTACATCTTTAAACTCTGCAGAGTTTATCGCTGGCAAAATAACCAAAATAACATTGAACATTCAGTTGCCTGCATTCTTGTCAAATTAGAACTTGATCTGAATATTTTGGAGGGCGGGGTGAAATTTTTGGAGATTTTTTCCTGATTTCCGGCTAATCCATTTGGCTAATCCTAAAAATTTATACAACATTTGTTAGGCACGGGAAGTTGAACTGAATGACACCTTGAACCGAAAGATCGGACAAAATTAAAATATGAGTGTGTTTTACCCGTTTTATGTGACAATGCGTTACAGGTGTTCGGTATTCAGGATTTTTCAAGTTGAGTTGTGATAACTTTTTCCATCAGATAGATAGTACAACTTTTAAATGTGGTTAGCGGTAGAGTAGGTTGGGATTAGAATTGAAGTAACTGTTAAAGTAACTGTAAACATAATAACATATGTTTATTATTAACATTTATTATCAAAATTAATCGAGATCTTCAGACAAATTACTCAAGAATTCATAACTTTGGTTCTACTCAATATTTTGTTTTCATTTAAAACCTATGTTTTAAGTCAAGTAAACCTTAATATAATGTAAAAATTTCAAAAGTCTACAATAAGCCATTGCTGAACTTACCCCTGACAAAATTTCATTGCAATGCGGACATACAGACAGACAAATTTTTTTAAAAAGTGGATTTGGTGTCTGCAATGTATGAAACGGAAAGATATCATAAAACTGGTTGATTCTATTCAATGTACAGACAAAATCTTTATTTTATTTATCTAGATGATATAGTTATATCCAACCAAATTAAAAACATTAACTTGATACTAATTTGAAATTTTGTTTGTTAACTATTTTGTCTTAATTTTAATTTGCGAAAACCCGCATTTCCTTCTTCATTCCCGCATTCATTTTTTTTCCTTCTTAAAAATGAATCGATCTTGGAAAATATTTAAGATTTTCTTATGACTTTATAGAAGAGATGAGCTCAAATTTACGATTTAATAAAAATCGCTATTATGACGATTAACTTTATAGTTAGATAAAATTATGTTTTTGATAGATATTAGGGAACGTATATTAATATCTATATTGAAACCTAATCCTGAAAAACGTCCAAATTTAACTGTTTGATTTAACTGTGAGATGCACGAGTCTTGGTCTTGGTTTTACTACATTTGCGAAAATACAAGAACAAGTCTGTTGATGAGCTGTCTGCGATGTAAGTGATATAGTTTATTTCTTGTACTGAATATGTCTGATTGGCGAAACACTCCCTGAATTATTTTTTTGTGATATTAGAGACCTTTTGTTTTTGAAATCGTCCAATAATATCCTTACAATTAACTTTTAAAAAGAGTAAATGTACTCACCCCAACGCCTTGGTGGATATGAGCGGAGTCTTGAGGGAGAGGAAGCCATTGGACCTGGTCGGAGTGGGCTTAGCGGGCGGCTCGGACTCCAAGTCGGAGGAGCCCGACTTGCGCCGCCGGCAGCAGAAGAACACAGCCAGGATGGAAGCGAAGAGAAGAGCGAGGGTACCAGTGACAAGTGCTATTCCCACTATCAGATCCCCTTCCTCCATCACCACCTGCAATAAACAAAATATAAATTATTAATAATAAAATTTAAAACAAAAAATATTGGTAGAAAGAAGACCCAGACGGTATAGAAGGAATGGATCGGAAGACAGATGGTATAAGAAGGGCTGTTGGAGAAAGACGCGTTGGAACTGCAGAGATGGAGGAACATCTAAGACAGGAGTTTGGTTACGAAGAACTTCACATAAAAGAAATAACTAAGAAAGGATTATATAATAATTTAATAAATAATTAAATAATAACAGGCTTAGCGAACACGAGGTTCGATGCTGATACCACTAATCGCTGTCTACATACCTCCATCAACCGGTATTTTGTGAAATACGAACTTGAACGCTACCTGGTGGTAGGTTGTGTAAACAAAGATAACCAATAGCCTGAGGACTTGATTCGGTTTTACTCTTTGCTAAGGTCTCCTAGAAGGAGGAACAAAAGACGGAACAGGTAAAGGGACTCCTAACACCAAGTAAGAATTGCCTTATGCCGGAAGAAGAGGTGAGTTACTTTTTTTCACGATGTAGATAACACAACAGTTGCTTTAAAATACAGTCCACTGACAAATTATTGGGTATGGTGCCTGTTGGTAAAATTATTAAGTTTATTTGCCTTTTTTTATTCTAGAAGTCATTACTTGCTTTAACAACCGGTCACCGTCCAAACTCAACCCCAACAAATAAGCCTTATTGTAATCTCTCGACCTTCGCTTCAGTTATTAACAGTCGGCACAGCGTTTATTAACATTTCATTACTAAGTCCAGTAATTGTATACGCTCATCTTATTCACCGCAAGGTAGTCACCTCAATTACATATATGTATATATATATATTTATTTATTTTTTCTTTAAACTTTATTCCGCAACTATCATGAAATTGACGGTGATCAGATTGGTTGTTGGTAATAATGAAATCTCAAGCATGAAGAAGGATAGCACCTTGTAGCAAGTCTACGTGATATTTGTTTACTAGCTTAAACCCGGAAAGGAGATCTCGAATGTACCAATTTCAATGAAACTTCGCAAAAGTATTCTTCTAGATGCCCTTCTAAATTTAGCTATATAACGTACTAGAACGAAAATAAGCTAGAAAAAATGTTACGAGGGATGATAAAATTAGATTTCGAATAACTCAACAAGTGAATACTTTTTTTTTTTCGAAATTTCCTTAAAAAAAACTCGTTAAAATCGGACAATAAGGAGCAAAAATATGGTCTCTAGTTTTTTTATATGTTCTACTGCAAAGGTTTTATCCTTTGTTTTGGTTTTTGAATTTTGAATGTATTGCTGTAGTAATGCTATTTTTTTTAGTACATCACTGATGATTAAAAAAAAAAAGTTTAGTCCAATAATTGGAATCACCTTTGCAACTAGGGATGTAATGTTACTTTAGATGTATAATTGATTGGAAATAATAAACATTGTGAAATAATTTGCAGCGTTTTTATTTTTAGAACAGGTGTATATAAGACAAAAAAAAAAACTGTCGAATAAATGGATTACGTATTTAAATTACGAGTATCTTACTCGTGCTAATTTAAAATTAGATATTTTTTATAGGTACAAATAAAAAATCTCTATGATGCAGAACACCAGATAGGAATAATTGTTGTGTTAATTTGGCCGTCCTCGCGCGGGCTCATTACCGCGTATGGGGAGCGTCCCACGGGTGGCGGATGTGGGGATGGTCGGTGGAAATTCCTTGGAAGTTCCTCCCGGCTAAGTCCGATGGACTCGCTGACCAACAATGAGAGGGGCCCTCCAGACTTGCTGGAGGGAGGGGACCTCCAGACTTGCTGGAGGTAGGGGCCCACCAGACTTGCTGGAGGGTGTGACGTAGGATTGAACGCCCTACTCACATATCTTTAGTTCACCAAACACCACAAAAAGTCATGGATCTCCCTAAGGTAAAACGCTCATTATCCGGAGGTAAACTAGTCCCCCGTTCGGGTCTCCGGGTGGGGACTGCTTTAGGGGATTCATGGTGCAAGTTGAAATATAGGGATTTAAATATTGGTACGTGGAACGTAAGGAGTTTAAACACAGCAGGGGGGCTAAAATCGGTCGCGAATGAGGTAAATGGGTACAATTTGGATGTCGTGGCTCTGCAAGAGGTTCGCTGGCCAGGGGAGGGCTCGATGAGGGAAGGGAAGTACACTATTTGGTACGGAGGAAGCGGGAATCATTGTTTAGGTACCGGGTTTCTAATTAGGAGTAGATTACTATCCGCTTTGAGGGACGTACAATTCTTTAGTGATAGAATTTCGGTAGCTACATTTCAGGGACGTTGGTTTAAAATCGCATTAATAAACATACATTGTCCGACCGAAGACAGTGACGATGAAGTCAAAAGTGAATTTTACGATAAACTCGAATGGGTTTATGATAAACTACCGCGAAACTACATGAAAATAATTGTAGGTGATGCGAACGCAAAGGTAGGAAGGGAAGAAGTTTATATTCCGACGATTGGTAAAGAAAGTTTGCACGAATATAGTAATGATAATGGGATCCGTCTGATAAACTTTGCCATCTCGAAAAACCTGATAATTAAAAGTACGACGTTTAAACATAAGGATATTCATAAATATACTTGGACATCACCGGATTCGCAAACACGAAATCAAATCGATCATGTCTTGATACAACATAGCTGGCAAAGCAGTATAATTAATGTACGGTCTTATCGCGGAGCAGAATGTGGGTCGGATCATGAATTAGTAATCGCGAAACTTCGACAAAAACTTAATATAAAAAAGAGAAAAGAAAACCGTTTCGATTTTGAGAATTTTAATTTGGAAAAATTAAAAAATCCATCAATTAGAAACCAATTCGAGCTAGATGTTAAGAATAGGTTTGAAGCTTTAGAGCTTCCTGACGAGGACCACGAGGATATTGACAAGTTATGGATAGAGATCAGGGATAATATTAAAGCGGTCGGTAACTCGTGTCTAGGAAAAAAGGAAAATAAGAATAACAAACCGTGGTTTGATGAAGATTGCTTAAACATGTGTGAAAAAAGAAAAGCCGCTAAATTAAAAGCTCTAAATAATCCTAGCGAAGACAATCTGGAATACTTCCGAATCTCAAAGAACGAAACGACAAAATTGTTCAAAAATAAAAAAAGGGAGTATCTTAAAAACAAAATAATTGAAATAGAAACTAATAGAATCGAAAATAACGTAAGAGACATGTACAAAGGTATAAACAGATCACGTAAATATGTAGGGCCCGTAACGTCTGGAATTAGGGATGATAATAACAATATTCTGACCGATCCGGTTGACATATTGAATAAGTTTAAGGACCACTTTGACAATATTTTAAATACGAGAAATTATGATCTGTGTCCTCCTTCTGAGTACCAGAGTGCTGAACCGTTAATAGAAGGACCAAGTAAAGAGGAAGTTGAAGTAGCTATCGGAAAATTAAAATCATATAAAGCAGCGGGAATCGATAATATTCCTACTGAACTAATTAAGGCATGCGGGGAAGCTGGAGTTTCTAAAATACATCGGTTGGTTAAAAAGATCTGGGTGAACGAGAAATTACCTGAAGAATGGAAAGAATCTATTCTTATTCCGATTCACAAAAAGGGTCCGAGGACGGATTGTAATAACTATCGAGGAATTTCACTCCTTCCGGTGTGTTATAAAATATTCACTTTAATCTTAACCAGTCGAATCACGGAATACGCCGAGGAAATTATCGGAGACTACCAATGCGGATTTAGACGGAATCGTTCGACGATTGATCAAATATTTTCTTTACGGCAAATATTAGAGAAAAAATTGGAGTATAACGGTATTGTTCACCAGCTGTATATAGATTTTAAAAAGGCTTACGATTCTATTGACCGCCAGAAACTGTATAATATTCTAATCGAGCAGGGGATTCCAAAAAAAATAGTAAATCTAGTCAGGATGTGCTTGACGGAGACACTCAATAAAGTTAGAATCGGTAATAATTTGTCCGAAAAATTTGAGGTTCGTTCGGGCTTAAAACAGGGGGATTCTCTTTCGCCTGTCCTGTTCAATTTGGCATTAGAACATGCCATTAGGGAGGTAATGCGAACCGAGAAAGGGTTGGATCTGGGCGGGACAACATCCGTGCTGGGCTATGCTGATGATCTGGTACTGTTAAGCGAAGACGTTGAAACTATAAAACTAAATACGACAACGTTAATGAAAGCCGGTAAAGAACTAGGACTCGAAATAAACGTGGATAAAACAAAATATATGGTTAGCTGCAAAAATGGCGATACTACTGGTGATATCGATATACAAGGTAATATGTTTGAACAGGTAGATAAATTTAGGTATCTAGGTTCTACGATAACTAGAAAAAACGAAATTGAAGAAGAGATTAAGGTTAGACTGAAGGCGGGGAATGCTTGTTATTTTTCTGTGACAAAACTACTTAGTTCGCGCCTCTTGTCCCGGGCTTTAAAAATTAGAATCTATAAAACGATTATCTTGCCTACAGTTCTTTATGGATGCGAAACTTGGCCGCTTACATTAAGGGATGAGCAGCGTCTTAAGGTTTTTGAAAATAAAGTATTGCGTAGAATATTCGGACCGAAGAAGGATGAGTTAACCGGAGAGTTCAGACGGTTACACAACGCTGAATTGCGTGAGCTGTATCCGGGTAATATAATTGAGGTAATTTTATCGCGGCGAATCAAATGGGCTTGTAAAGTTGTTGGGCTTAGTAACGAGAGAATTCCTAAAAGGTTAATATTTGCTGTGCCGAATGGTAAGCGTCCGAGGGGTAGACCGAAGCGAAGGTGGGAAGATTGCATTAAAGCCGATCTGAAGGGACTGGGTTTGGACGGCGAACGGTGGAGGGAGGTGTGTAACAAGCGATTGGTGGTGTCGGCATCGAACCTTCGGGTTCGCTAAGCCTTATTATTATTATTATTTTTAATTTGGCCGTTCATTTTTAACGTGTTTTTTTTTTTTTTTTTTATAGAAAGAGTAATGATTAAAATATTTGATCGCTAATT